CCATGACTGTCCCCTGTGTACAAAGCCAGCTCCATAAAGACATGGTGGGACCAGATTGGTGGAGGAACTCAAGTGTCCTGCATAGAGCCCTGACCTCATCCCTACTCAGCACCATTGGGATGAACTGGACCACTGACTGCAAGTCAGATCTTCTCATCCAACATCAGTACCCGACCTTTACCCTACTGAACACCTTTGGGAATACCTTATGGGTCTTCTCATCCAACATCAGTACCCCAAATGGCCACAAATTCTCACAGACACCCTCCATGTGTCTCCAGTGAAGGTTCTGTATACTAGATCATACAAAGACATTGTAGACAATTGAGATCTTCCAGGCTTGTGGTCACAGTTTGGTGAAGACCCTTTTCTCTCCCACCATGACTGTCCCCTGTGTACAAAGCCAGCCCCATAAATACATGGTGTGACCAGCTTGGTGGCAGCACTCAAGTGTCACAGAGCCCTGACCTCAACCCTACTGAACACATTTGGGTTGAGTTGGACCACTGATTGTGTGATCCAGGTCTTCTCATCCAACATAAGTACCTGATGTCACAAATGGGCACAAATTCCCACAGACACCCTCCAAAATCTTGTGGAAGGACTTCCCAGGAGAGTGGAGGTTGGTATGGCCATGAAGGGGGCAACCACATATAAATGGCCACGAGAGAGGGGCAACTCCATATTAATGGCCATGAGAGGGGGGCAACTCCATATTAATGGCCATGAGAGGGGGGCAACTCCATATTAATGGCCATGAGAGGGGGGCAACTCCATATTAATGGCCATGAGAGGGGGGCAACTCCATATTAATGGCCATGAGAGGGGGGCAACTCCATATTAATGGCCATGAGAGGGGGGCAACTCCATATAAATGACCATGAGAGAGGGGTAACTCCATATTAATGGCCATGAGAGGGGGGGAACTCCATATTAATGGCCATGAGAGGGGGGCAACTCCATATTAATGGCCATGAGAGGGGGGCAACTCCATATTAATGGCCATGAGAGGGGGGCAACTCCATATTAATGGCCATGAGAGAGGGGCAACTCCATATTAATGGCCATGAGAGGGGGGCAACTCCATATTAATGGCCATGAGAGGGGGGCAACTCCATATTAATGGCCATGAGAGGGGGGCAACTCCATATTAATGGCCATGAGAGGGGGGCAACTCCATATTAATGGCCATGGTTTTGGAATGCGGGCATGTGTTATTGCCAAGTTTACAGGTGAAAGAAAAAGCCTAAAAATGCAGCCATCACATCTGCGTCCTGGTAAGATGCAATATATGATATATTGTTGTTATTCTGCTTAGATCAGGGTTGGAAAAATCTCGGCAGCCAGGTAGCCAATGCTCCTGAAAAATTACAGCCAATGTTTTCTTTCAAGGTAGTTGTGAACGGACCTGGCTCCTATAAAAATACCCTGCTGTTTCCTGAACTCCATATGGATTTGTCTTCCTCCGGATGAGATACAATTTAAATGATTTAATTTTATAGGAAATAAGTTAGATCCTTCTAGAATCTATTTCAGGTTGCCATCTAGGATGGGGGGGTGGGGGGGGGGGGTTTTTTTTTTTATTCTTGTTCTCCCTATTAAACAAAGATAGACAATGCAAAGCCATCCATGTATTGTGGAACTACAAGTCCCTGCAGGGCTGCCAGTACTGTGCATTGCACATCTTTTTGTTCTCGGTGACCGTCCCTGGAAGAGTACCAATTGGTGTCTATGGGAAGCCGGTCTCTTGAGTCCAGTTTTCAATGTTGCAGATTTCTCTCATTATGATAACTTGTTACTCCTGACATAAAACTTTGTATTTTAACGTCTGAAACAAGTTTATTTTTTCTAAAAGGCTCATATGAAGGTGCTGCTGTTCCTCAGGCCAGGCTAGCGCTGTTAATGCAGCTCTGTGGGGCCCCCCCGGGGATCGGTAGAGCTCTTTACAGCCCCACAGAACCAGACATCTTGTGATGTCACCATAACTTCCCCCAGCCGCAGTCTGAGGCAGAGAAACATGTTACCTCTACAAACAAAGCTGCACTGTCAGGCTGCGCCGATCCATCAGAGAGGCATCACACCATGCGAGCAGCAATTACCAATGCATGCAAACTGTCCCCAGGAAAGTCCCACCTTCACAAACCTAAAGTGGAACTCCGTACAACTATATAGCAAAAACCATAATTCAGTACTCGTAGACAAAAAAATCCTCATGTTTAGGGCTTCTGGTATGACTGCCTGAGACCAATATCTGCACTACTGTCCCACAATCCTCTGCAATGAAGAAATCAGACTGACAGTGGGAGGTTCCGCACGGTGTGCCAGTTGGATCCAAATACAATGAATAATTTTCCTCTCCCATGAAATAGTTTTTTTTAAACACATCCTTAACTGAGCGGAGACTACATGTGTAGATAGAAATTGGGAAGTGCAGAATGCCTCTGGTCAGGGGAGAAGTGCAGGGTGCCTCTGGTCAGGGGAGAAGTGCAGGGTGCCTCTGGTCAGGGGAGAAGTGCAGGGTGCCTCTGGTCAGGGGAGAAGTGCAGGGTGCCTCTGGACTGGGGAGAAGTGCAGGATGCCTCTGGGCCGGGGAGAAGTGCAGGATGCCTCTGGGCCGGGGAGAAGCGCAGGGTGCCTCTGGGCCGGGGAGAAGCGCAGGGTGCCTCTGGGCCGGGGAGAAGCGCAGGGTGCCTCTGGGCCGGGGAGAAGCGCAGGGTGCCTCTGGGCCGGGGAGAAGCGCAGGGTGCCTCTGGGCCGGGGAGAAGCGCAGGGTGCCTCTGGGCCGGTGAGAAGTGCAGGGTGCCTCTGGACTGGGGAGAAGTGCAGGGTGCCTCTGGGCTGGGGAGAAGTAAATTGGGGCTGAGGACTTTTGAGAGTTTTCTTTATGAAGATTATTCTTTTTGAATGGACTGCATCTGAAATGGGTCACATCTGTGTGTCGGGGTGCTATTCAAAATGAATGTCGCCGCAATATACCGCACTGCAGTGCACGCTTTGCCATGTGTTTGCGGGAATGTACAGTAAATGTGGATGTGAATATGACGCCATATCCGCACTTTAATACTTGAGTCATGGCATCATCCTATTATACAATTCACTGGATTTCCCCACACCAACCAACCGTTACTTTCCAGAGCACAGTGATGAAGAAATGGAAGAGCAACCTCTGCTGATATTATTGTCTGTAAAGGCAAAGCGAGTCAAATGCAGCATTGGACCCTCCTCTACATGAGCCGTAACATTGAACCCTCCTCTACATGAGCCGTAACATTGAACACTCCTCTACATGAGCCGCAACATTGAACACTCATCTACATGAGCCGTAACATTGAACCCTCCTCTACATGAGCCGCAACATTGAACACTCATCTACATGAGCCGTAACATTGAACCCTCCTCTACATGAGCCGCAACATTGAACACTCATCTACATGAGCCGTAACATTGAACTGTTACAATAGTACGTTCTCTATAGAGACCCCTTTACAGTCCCTGACAATGGTGTGGTGCACACTGAGTGCAATCATTATCTAGTCAGGTAGGTCTGACTGATAGGGCCGGAGTCACAGACTATTCACAAGGCGAACCACAACATGCTCCAATACGCTATATGTACTGTATGTGTGTCGGGGTTCGTTCAGTTCATTCCCAGCCCACATATACAGTGTACACAAATGCACCAGCACAACACATGGATGCTTTGTATGCTGCGTTGTCCAGAAGTAATGAAGGTCAGTTTGTTTCCTGCCGGGAGGTTTATTAAGACCGCATCCAACTGCCATCCAAATATTCATCAACTCAGAGGTAACCAGTAGAGCCCAAGGGCTAAGCAGATGGGTCAGACGAGCAAACAGGTGTTCTATCGAAAGCTCGGACTGGTCGAGCTCTCCGACTGGGCACGTCACAGTCACCCGGTGACTGCCTGCAGATGTACAGCAGATGGAGCTAGTGCGCATGGGCAGAATATCCTTGTCTAACTGTCTAACTGTTGCCACTGCGCCTGCGCAGCTCATCACATTCTATAACCTAATACAAACTTATATTTGTCCTAGGTTATAGAAGCCGATAACTGTGGTTGTAGAAAGAATCATGTGGCCGCGCAGGCGCTGTAACATAATATAACCTTTGACTAGGTTATAGAATCCGATGAGGCAATAGCCACTTCGCCTGCGCGGCTATCGGCTTCTATAACCGAGTCAAAGGTTATATTATGTTACAGCGCCTGCGCGGCCACATGATTCTTTCTACAACCACAGTTATCGGTTTCTCTAACCTAGGACAAATATAACTGTAGTAGGTTATAGAAGTGGATAGCCGCACAGGCGCTGTGGCAATAGTGGTTCGACATGCGACTAGCACCATCTGCTGTAGCTCTCCTACTGGCAGTCACCGGATGTGACATCACCAGTTGGAGAGGTCGACAAGTTGGAACTTTCGATAGAACACCGGCCAATGGTGACAACTCGCCAGCAACTGGAAGACCCCTAACCTTTTCTTTATGGAGTCGCTTTTCTTTATGGTTTCTCAGTCACAGCGAGCGGAATGCTGCGAGGTTCGCGGCCAGCGAGGGAGCCATTCCATAGAGGAAGAGACTTTGCCGCTGGCGATGTGTCACCGCGAGCAGAATCGCTCATTTGAAATGGCCATGTTGGTAAATCTATAGGGGATGCATGAGATCTGTGGCTATGTATTTCCCCGACACGTATCCCACGTCTCCGTCTCAGAAATCAAACATAACATTCAGATCAATAAACGTTCTGACCTTCTTTGGGGGTCGCTCTTGATGATTGCTCTGTGTGTGAAGGTGCCGTGTACGCCAGCGAAGAGCTGCCTGGAGGAAGAAGGTCACAATGTCAGAATGTATCTGCAGCCAAGAACAAGAATACATTTATATTGCAGCTCACCAGTCTCTGCATGTGGTGGCTGCATTAGTTTTCTTTTTGAAGGCAAATAACATTTCCTGCAAGTACAGAACATACCTGCTAATCCTGCCAGAAATTCAGTGTCCCTGTCATGTGCTATGTACTAAACTGAAATCTCAAACCATGTTCTAGAAATACAGAAAGGAAAACCAGGCCAAAGGAATAAGGCTCCAGCATATTTTAATTATAGTTAAATTGGTCGTATAAAAACAACTAACGCGTTTCAGGGAGCCAAACCCCGCCCCCTTCATCAGGGGGTAACGCTTAGATAGACTATGAGCACACAGATGAGTTCTAGGTCAGCAATGGACATGGAGTGATAGTGTTACAGTTGCTGAGTTCTCTTTCTGGAGATCTCAGCAATGTTATCAATTTCCCAACTATCTTCTGTGAACTACAAAGCAACGCCCCTCTATGTAATGGAGTGTTTCAGGGTGATTGAGGCTCCCCCTTTCCTCAGGGCATTGGAAGAATTCACACTATTATTCTTTGCTTAAGTGCCTTTCGGAAACTGGCATCGGGGGGTACTGTGATCAGGGCCATCAGGGCTGTCCCTTTGATGAGGCAGCCTGGTGGCTACTTGTGTTCCCCATGGTCCCTGTGTGTGTTGTAGTCACCGCTCCAAGCTCCCCCCCGGGGTGGACTACAATCTCATGTTTAGTTTACTCATTTGTAGTGAGATTGTAGTCCATCCAGGGGCGGAGCTTGGACCGGTGACTACTTCACACACACAGGGACCATGGGGAACAGACGTAGCCCCCCTCCAAAAGGAAGGACAGTGTCAGAGATGATCGGAGGATCTCCAGCCGAGTGACACACAAATAAGATACATTGTTGCTCAGAGTTCAGGGACTCGGATGGATTTTTAAGGTTAAACTCCGGAGTTTGGTGTCACTTTAAATATCCCACTGAAAGTGTTTTGTTATATCAGCTGAATACTCTATTCTATTTAATGCCCAACAATAAGCAAAGCCCAAATGTATCCATCTCCCCATAGTTACCCAGATAGCAAGAAATTGTGCTGCAAGTGTGATAATGTCTCGCTAAACTATTGCAGACTTGCCGAGCGTCACAATGTTGTTGCACAATTACAGCAAGTCTGCATTGCAAGTCCCCAGACCAGCGAGCTTGCAGGACTCTTACTAAAGGTCCCCACACACCTTCCGATAATGGCGGGAAATCCCGCGATCGTACGATTATCGTAAGGTGTGTGGAAGCCGTGCGACCTCTGCTACTGTGAGGTCGCACGACTTTAAACTTACGAACATGTTCGGTAACCCGCCGAGCATCGTACAACGTTCGGCGGGTGTGTAGCATGTTTGTGAGATAAAAGCCGTACGGGCCGGTGTGGGCAAGCGCACACTGCCCGTTCGGCATTGCGGTCATCGGAAGCCCGCCCCTCAGGGGGCGTGGCTTGCGATAATCACAAGTACGATCTGCCTATGTAAGATAGGCAGATCGGACGTTTTTTTAAGTACCTTACAACCATCGCAAGACAAAAGTCCTGCGATGGTTGTAAGGTGTGTGCCCGGCCTGAGACCTGCAGGACTCTTGCTGTAGACTTGCCGAGCAAATTTGCTACAAATTCAAAAAGTGTCGCCTAGAACTTGTGCTGCGAGTGTTCTGAGAGTCTACAACCTGCCGGGAATGTGCGCAGCAAGTTAACAAAATTACAATGTCACCCGGACACAAGTTTGTAGCAAGTTATCCGTGCTATCTGGGAACTCTTCAGTATGTATCTTTATTATAGATGATGATCCTGCCGGCCC